TTGAAAGTAAAGATATATATGTGAAGGAAACTATATTCTTAAGAGGGACTGATGAAAATGAAATTATTGACACAGTTAAACAACTTAAAATAGGTCTACAGACTGTCATGATATTGACATGCATACAGTTAAAAACATTAATGAATGTATAGCCAAACCACTAACTCACATCTGTAATCAGTCAATACAAACCGGTGTATTTCCAAATAAAATGAAAACTGCTAAAGTCATACCAATACATACATCTGGAGATAAACATGTACCGTCAAACTATCCAATTTCATTGCTCTCACAGTTTTCTAAAATACTGGAAAAAAATCTACTATACAAGACTAAATGACTTCATCACCAAACATAACATACTCTATGAACAACAATATGGTTTCAGAGCAAACAGAACCACATCATTTGCAGTTATAGAATGTATGGAACACATTACTAAGGCAATAGAAAAGAAAGAATATGCAATAGGGATATTTCTGGACCTTAAAATAGCATTTGCCACGGGTGACCATGAATTATTAATTAAAAAAACCTACAGAGATATGGCATTAGAGGTGTTGCACTATCATAGCTATCCAGCTACCTACATAACAGGGAACAAGTAAGTTGAACTACAAAGCCATAAATCACAACTACTGCAGGTTACATGTGAGGTGCTTCAGGGCTCAGTCTTGGGGCCATTACTATTTATTCTGTATATTAACAATATATGTGAAGTATCAAAAACTATTAAAACCATTCTTTTTGCAGACGACACAAGTCTACTCTGCTGTGGGGACAATTTAGAACAGCTATTGGTCACAATGGAGAAGGAACTGAGCAGGATGAAGATCTGGTTTGACCAAAATAAATTAACATTGAACGCAAGCAAAACCAAACTCATAATATTTGGGAATTGATCGACCAATACAGAGAAGAAACTCACTATAAATGGCGTCCAATTAGAAAGAGTATTGGAAATAAAATTCCTTGGAGTAATCATAGACAATAAATTAAGTTGGAAACCACATATAAGCTATATCAAAGCCAAAATATCCAGGATATCAGGATGAAAATTACAGGCCTCTCTCATCTTTTTAAGTGGGAGAACTTGCACAATTGGTGGCTGACTAAATACTTTTTTGCCCCACTGTATATATTATTGTTGTATGTTTTTGTTTCTGACATGTTCAATAAATTGACAACAAAAAAAACATTAAGTTGCATGTATATAAATTCTCAAAAAAAATTAAATACAAATTGACGATATATTCTCTAAAAACAATCTTTTATTTTTAATCTTAGTGGATGTCCAGTTGTTCACTATGAAGGGCCAAATCTTTCATACTTAAGCACTGTTAGAATGTTTTGGACAGGAATAGTGAAACAAAGGTGCCATTTGAAAGTAAAAAGAAATGCTCAATGTTTTTACTTTGCATCGATGATATTGGATCGTTGATCAGTCAATCATATATCGGTATATTCTAGAACCATAGCAAGTCTACAGAAAACTAAAAGGCAACAATTTCAAAATATGGCTATATACTGTAAATCACTACTACTCAGGCTTGCACTTGTTTCTTTTGATATTATAGTGAATACTTTTAGGTTCTTGACAGTTTGTCAGACAACAGGCGTTCTGATAACTTGTCTCATAGCCCAATGGGAGGTATCCATAATGACAAATAAATAAATAGAGTATCAAGTCCACAAACATAACAGCAGTCTGATTGACTATACTGCACAGCTGTGTTTACAGAGCTGCTTCCTCAAAAACGTTTGCTCGCATATTTGCAACACTTGGCCGGCACGTTACCGGGGGAAATAAACATCAAATGATGAGCACTTATTATATAATCCATTATTAGACTGGCTGTAAGAGACCTGGAGTAAGTTCAAATGAGATCACAGCTAAATAAACTGGAGGCAGCTAAAACAACAAACAAGTGTTTGAATAAAACGGAGCACTGTAAGTCAGTTTATAGATTATCTGATCCCCCAATTGCTCAGTGATCAACACTGTAAACTGTTTTATTTTACTACAGCTTAAGGATCACAAAGAAATTAGGAAATAAGGAGAAAACACAAAGTCAGCAGCAATCAACCAAAACACCTAGATGACTTTAATCCAGCAGGCATATTAAGGCTGAGTTCAGTAGTTTCTAGTGTGCTTTGGAGGCTATACTAACAGAGTTCCTCCTCAGGAACAGATAGTCAGTTTAGTCTGAGCATATAGGCTACTGTAAGATCTCTTAAATGTGTTTTTCTGAAATTAAAGTCCCAAAATAAGGGAAAGCTATGATTGCTCAGCCATATCAGATTTGTGGCTGGAGAGTCTGATAAAGTTAACTTTATTTATCCCTATCCAAACCAAATCAAATCGTTTTTCAACAGTAAGTTCACACTTCCCCCAAGTTCTCCCCTCGCTCACAGGATGTGAAAAGGGATAAACCATATTATAAAGTCAAATGAGCTGTATGAATCTCATTATGAACAGAAGTGAACTAATCCTGTAATAAAGTTTTGAGAGGCCTAGGAACTTTGATGCTACATTTTGAGCAAGTTTTCAAATACCCTTCAACAGAGGGTAAACAATAGAGATTTAAATAGATGTTACTTGTGAAAGGTCAATGTTCACTCACAATTATTAAGACAAACAAGAGGTGGAAGAAATACTTTTTACTAAGATAAAAGTAGAAATACCACCATGTAGGAATACTCAAGTTACAAGTAAAAGTCCTGCATTGCAAATGTTATTTAAGTAAAATAACCAAAGTATTAACAGTAGTCATTATTCAGATTGTCCCATTTTCTAATAATATATTTAGATGTATAAATATTAGGGCCGGGACTCGTTTAAAAAAAATTAATCTAATTAATTAGAGGCGTTGTAATTAATTAATCGAAATTAATCGCATTTGTAATCACATATAAATATTTGACCTGAGAACAGTGAGAAGCCATTTTTTTCACATGGATTTTAGTATACCATTAGGCGCATTCACACCGCAGTACTTTTCCCACAAAGGTTCATGAGAACTTAGTTCATAAGAACTCTTTGAACCTGGGGGAGGATTAGGCAAATGAAGCCGCTGACGTCACTTCTTCTTCTTCTGCTTTGGGTTTACTGGCAGGCCGCAAACCACTTCACGGCGTATACTGCCGCCCAAAGTCCCCGGCCGGAAGTCCCCGGAGTTGGGGACTGGCTTCAGTAGAAGCTGCTGGGAGTCCCAGCAGCTTCTACTGCAGCCTTCCGAGTAAATCGCCAGAACGCCGACACCTCCTCATCTCCACCGCTCCCATGTTTTATTTTGTGTTGCCATAAGTTAGTCTCTCTGCGTTTCTGCGCTGGGCTAATGCTAATAATGCTAATGCGAGGATAATAAAATGGCGGCTTCACAAAACTTTTTGGGAGTTTTACGGGGCGTGGTTTGCAATCCGCCCAGCCAATCAGAAATATAGCTCTTTTCTCACAAGAGAGCCGTACGAAAGTCCCTGCTTTCGTGGGGGTAAAAAGGTTCTCATGAACTAATTTTAGTACCGGCTCTTTTTGGTGTGAACGCGATAAAAGAGGCTAACGTCCACGCTAGCTTCCACGCTAGCTGCTATATGTTTTGCATTGAGGTGATACTTGAGGCTTGATGTGCTGCGGTGGTATGCGAATTCCTTTTTGCATAATTTGCACACAACCGTGCTCTTATCGACGCTTCCATCCGTCCGTTTTTTAAAACAACATTTCCCACTGTTGTTCACTGTGGTTTGTTGTTGTCTGAAGTCATGAACGTTAGTTGGTGCTCCAGTATAATCGGTACGCCTGAAACTCATCCAGTGAGAAACGTTCCGCGGTGCAAAAATAAGTGCGATTAAAATGCGTTAATTTTTTTAACGCGTTAATTTTTGTGTAATTAATTAATCTTAATTAACGCGTTAAAGTCCCGGCCCTAATAAATATATATATTTTTTGCTACTTTGTACTTCTTCTATATAACCAGCACGGCCCCTAATAGACCCCCACACACACACAACAACACAGACTATACAGTAACACCTCTTGTTGTTAAATACCAACTATGTGCAATATCTATATGCCGTTAAAAACTGTGCAATATATACCTGGCTGCTAAATCCTCAGAACTGTTACAGGGTGTGTATTTTTGTAAAATGTGTAACTTTGTTACTTTAATTTATTTTGTTTATCTTTAGTACTTTTTTTATGCATGCTACTTAGGTAACATTAAGCTGTCTTTGGCTCTTTTCTGCTGTAACAATGTACATTTACCCTCTGTGGGACTAATCAAAGGTATTCTGATTCTGATACCCAACTACAATTTTGAGGTAAATAATGTACTTTTACTCCACTACATTTTTAAGTACCTTTAGCTGTTTTGCAGATTGTTTCATAATGTGAAATATAATCAACACTTAAATAAGACTTTAGATGCACCTGGAGAAACATTCACAAGCTACCCTGCAGTATACAAAGTAAATTAAATTAGCTGCACCTTTACCAGCTTTGATAACACTCTAATGCCTCCATAATAATAATCAAAAAAGTATATGTTCTGAAATGAGAATTTTAAAATGTTACTTTTGCTACTTTAAACATTTTATAAAGCTAATACTTTTGTACTTTTACTTTTTGATTGCAGGACTTTGACTTGGAACAGAGTATTTCTTCACTTTGTTGATTCTACTTCTGTACAGGTAGCCTACTTCTTCCATCTCTGGATACAACAGTGCAATAACTGAGAGCCACAGTTAATCCAAACACAATTAATGAAAATAGTTTGATGTTGCCATAAAAAGCTAAAAATCGCCAATACCAAAAGAAACTGCTGTGTTCCCCAGAAACACAATGGCATCATTAGGTGATCTAATTACCATAACATGCTATGAAGTATTTTTAAAGTCAGCATTTAGCCGACACTGACACACTTCATACAGTTCTTCGTGAATACAACGTGTTTTTCTGTGTGCACCGTGTGATGCTGTGAGGATAGTTGGACCAGCCCACTTACCCGTGTACTGCAGGAGAAACATTGTCCTCTGTCGCGGATTTGTTAGACCTAAACAGTCCGGACGAAGATAAAGTCTCTCAGGTTGATATTAATCCGTGAAGTGGTGAAGTTTCTCGGTCGTTGCACTGCGGTAGAAAAGACGGTCCTCTCGACGGTACCGTGTAACCTATGACAACCAACGGTGAGCAGTTATCACCTGCCTCACAGTCAACGCACGCTGCACTGTCAAGCTAGCAAAACCATTTCAAACAACTTCTGGTTATGACTTTCACAATAAATCCTACTTGATACTCAGGTACTCTTTTGTACGGATTAACGAACATTTATATAGATTTATAAGCTTACATAATACAGATGTTGTCTTTTAATACCTTCAGAAAGCATTATTCTTTCAGAGAGCGCGTATGTAGACCTGACCCTCCTGTTTACTTACGTTTCTACATCACTAAAATGAATGTGTCCATTTATTTTGAAGGCAGGTGCTCCTTTTATTCCGTGTAACAAAATAGATGTAAATATGTGTTCTTCACAGATGATAGGTTTTTATGAATACAATGACAAAACTTGAGAGAAAAACGGAATGAACACCGGTCTGTGAACAGTACCACACCGAAACAGGTCACAGCAGCAGTAAATAGACACAACACATACTTCACAAAATGTGACACTGACGCAAGAAGGCTAACATTGTAAATGTTCTCCACAAGTGGGAAAGCCTATGCCATGAAGGTTCTCATTGCTAAATTCACATGTATTACATTTATTAAGATTATTTTAAATACCACTTACTGTTTAAGCAGAATTTTGAGCAGGTATCAGTGTGTTCGAGCGTAGACGTTTATTAATGGCCTTAAAAAGTAGTTTTAAGCAAAAATTCTTACCTCAATTGCTTTTTTCTAGACCCTTCAATTAAACCTCACTGTATTTCCCAGTGGATAGAGTATTTTGCAGTATAATCTCAGAGGGGTTTGCATTAATAAATGTCGATATGCATAGCTTTTAAAGATAATGTGAATAAAAGCTCCTGAAAAAGCTACTTATAAGTCTTTGAGTTAAGAATTTTCTTAAGAAGGGAGCTTACATAATGCCCCAAAAGAGTAAATATCTCAAATTGAGTCACCTTTTTTATCTGACTTCAATTTAAAACCAAAATACATCAGTTGTTTGTTTTATTATTATCCAGGCGTCTAAAGATATTACGGAATAAGCCACAGCAGTGAATATCTGGGTTGTTGTCCTCATTAGGACTCCTTAACCTAGTTGTGACCAAGATTGGATAAGATGCATCTATTTTTGTGATTGCTATATTCATGCAGAACGGACGCTATAAAAACATATTTTTTATTAGGTCAATATGTGTTCATTTTGCTGTGTTCTCTGGTTGATTCCACTTGGTATTTTGGTCACAGATCCTTAAAGTTTAGCTTTTCCTAAGTTAAGGAGAAATGCACGCAGCAACAGAGCAAAGCACGAGCCAAACACAACACTTTCCCTTCACACGATTAACATGTGCTGTGTTAAGTGGTTAAATCCTCCATTGCCAGATTCTGGCTGGTGAAGGTGCTCCTGCTGCACCCAAACTGTCCCTGAAGTGCTTCACCACCAACGCCTTGCTGGCTCTTCGCCTAATATCACTGAGCCGTTTTCTACACTGGGAAATAGTTCTCCCAGCACCTGGCAAAACATGTTGACGAAGTGTGTTATCTCTTTCCAATTTAGTTTAACATCATCTGCTCTCTGTGGCCCAATTCATGTACCATATGATGTGCTTGTGGCTATTCAGCACCATCCTTTTAGTCATTGGAGAAGCCTTTGTGGGTTCTTCCATCATCAAGACAGCAGCAGGAGTGGAACAGCAATTTACTTTGACAGGTATTCTCCTGTTAAAGATGTGATTCTTATATATTTCTGAAAGCAGCGAAGTGGTTGTGCTGTTTGATATGTGCCGTGTTAAATTACAGATCATTTACAGACACTGCAGGGTTGGTGAAATAATTTGAAAACCTTTCAAAGTGAAAAGTTAGATAAAAGCTTGGGCAACAGACGACCTACAGTTTTATTCTTTGCCCTGTCTGAAATGGGGTTTGTACCGAGGTGATATTCTGCATTTAATAGTTGACACCAATGTCTTCTTGAAAAATCCTTTTTGAATTACTGTCCCTTCACCCTGGAACCATAAAAAAAGGTCAGAGATAAACACAACTTCAGACATCTCCTAAAGTGGAAAGGAATTAGGCCGAGAGTGCATCCATCATATACAGCAAAGTGTTTTCAGCATCGATTTTTAAACAACTTTGACGCAATTGAAGAAATAAATGAGGCATACCCTTTTCACTGAGCATTGATGTTTATTTCTCAATCTGCACGGCCATTTTGCTTCATATGGAAATAACATGTTTAGAGCCAGTCTGATTACATGTCACTGCACAGTGCATATAGCATACATTAAAGTAATGTATGAATACATTAAAATTCATTCGGGGGCATTTAGTTAGTTTATTATGGAAACAGAAAGTCATTTATCACCTGCCTTGGATAGTGTAGGTTGAAATAGAATATGCCTTTTTATGTGCCACATGCAGAGCATAAAGAGAAACATTAATTATTCTCGCTATGAGAAATGGCATGAAGCAGAACAATTTGTTTTTGAGTTGGAAAATATTATTTTCCTACCTTTATTGCTTATTTAGTCATGCATTTTATTGTTTGGAGAGTTATTGAAGACGTAAGACCAAGCTGCTCTGCAAGAGCCAAATGTAAAAGTAATCAGAAAGCAATACAATAATAAAGAAATGTCATCTGTGAGTGTTTTACATTACAGTTTTGAATTGTATTATTACTAATAATGCATTCATGTGTATATATACTTTTACTGTTAGCCAAGAGGGGGCGACTTTAATTATTTTATACGCTGTTGAGTAATTAAATCTAAGCTCATCTTAGGTTTTGTATGTTGAATAAATTTAGCAGATTTACCGTACTGGGGTAAAAATACCTTGTTTTTTACATTATTTCCACCACTTCCAGGATTACTGTTTACATTAGACTTTGTGAAATATGCAAATAAAGCCCCAATATGCTCTGTGCTATAATGTATGTAAGAGCTCAATTAATTCACAGCGTGTGGTTTCAGTGTTGAATGAGCCAAATGTAAACAGCGGTATTGATCATTTGATGCTGATGTCACTGAGCAGGGCTATATGGGATTTACACTGAACAAAAATATAAACGCAACACTTTTGTTTTTGCTCCCATTTTTCATGAGATGAACTCAAAGATCTAAAACATTTTCTATATACAAAAAATAACCATTTCTCTCAAATATTGTTCACAAATCTGAAAAAATCTGTGATAGTGAGCACTTCTCCTTTGCCGAGATAATCCATCCCACCTCACAGGTGTGGCATATCAAGATGCTGATTAGACAGCATGATTATTGCACAGGTGTGCCTTACGGCCCGTCTACACTACAGGCGTCAAAAAATGCTTTCAACGCTTCGCCCATTCATTTGAATGGGGTGACGTAGGATATTTTCAAACTTCGCCGAACTGCATTGTGGGTAGCATGGCAAGGCGTTGCAAGCATCGCGAGCGTCTATCGGCGTCAAAAGTTGAACAATGTTCAACTTTTGAGGCTCGATGCTTGCTCGAAGCTGGCGTCAGCCAATCAAATCCCGTTTTTGCAATTCCCGCCAGTACAAGCGCTAGCCAATCAAACCGCGTGCAAGCTGGGAGAGCCAGACCGCAGTTCATTTCCTCATATTCCAAACGAGAAATTACGGTAGCAAATCACCCGGTTCTTTCCGACCAGAACTATTTATCGGGATACAAACCGGAGGAACCAGGCATGGAGGGAGGTGGCAGAGACAGTGGGTGAAACTGGTAGGTTTTTGCCTGTTTGGGGATTTTATATCCAGTTTACTTCGTTTTAACATTGCTATTGCTTTGTATGTCGGGGGCGGGAGATTCATGTGATTGGTTGTTGGTCGCGTTGCTCGCAAAAAATCGCCAAGCTTCAGACACGCCCAGCTTCAAGATTTTGTTATGCCTGTAGTGTAGACGGGCCGTTAGGCTGGCCACAATAAAAGGCCACTCTAAAATGTTCAGTTTTATCACACAGCACAATGCCACAGATGTCGCAAGTTTTGAGGGTTCGTGCAATTGGCATGCTGACAGCAGGAATGTCCACCAGAGCTGTTGCCCGTGAATTGAATGTTCATTTCTCTACCATAAGCCGTCTCCAAAGGCGTTTCAGAGAATTTGGCAGTACATCCAACCGGCCTCACAACCGCAGACCACTTGTAACCACACCAGCCCAGGACCTCCACATCCAGCATGTTCACCTCCAAGATCGTCTGAGACCAGCCACTCGGACAGCTGCTGTTGCAACAATCGGTTTGCATAACCAAAGAATTTCTGCACAAACTGTCAGAAACCGTCTCAGGGAAGCTCATCTGCATGCTCGTCGTCCTCATCGGGGTCTCGACCTGACTCCGGTTCGTCGTCGTAACCGACTTGAGTGGGCAAATGCTCACATTCGATGGCGTCTGGCACGTTGGAGAGGTGTTCTCTTCACTGATGATTCCCGGTTTTCACTGTTCAGGGCAGATGGCAGACAGCGTGTGTGGCGTCGTGTGGGTGAGCGGTTTTCTGATGTCAATGTTGTGAATCGAGTGGCCCATGGTGGTGGTGGGGTTATGGTATGGGCAGGCGTATGTTATGGACGACGAACACAGGTGCATTTTATTGATGGCATTGTGAATACACAGAGATACCGTGACGAGATCCTGAGGCCCATTGTTGTGCCATTCATCCACGACCATCACCTCATGTTGCAGCATGATAATGCACGGCCCCATGTTGCAAGGATCTGTACACAATTCCTGGAGGCTGAAAACATCCCAGTTCTTGCATGGCCAGCATACTCACCGGACATGTCACCCATTGAGCATGTTTGGGATGCTCTGGATCGGCGTATACGACAGCGTGTTCCAGTTCCTGCCAATATCCAGCAACTTCGCACAGCCATTGAAGAGGAGTGGACCAACATTCCACAGGCCACAATCAACAACCTGATCAACTCTATGCGAAGGAGATGTGTTGCACTGC